AATGCCTCGTTTATAATGGGTTTTCATGTTTTTGAATCATCGGTCCGGCCTGACAGGGCATCATCACAATGTGGTAAGGGGTGTAACATTTCCGTCTCACACTTGAGGTATTCGGCAAATCACAACGCACTGGATAGCGGGCCAATCACAGCACACCTCACTTTTTCAGACCGATGAGCTTTGTAAAAATCGACGCGTTTCAGAAAGGCGGGGCATAGAGGAGAAACAATAATGTACAGTATGTGGAAAATAATGTGTTTTTTTAACCTTAAACCGCATAAACACATTTCATTACACCAAATACACAAAATAATGTTCTTTTTAGCAGCATCATATGACCCCTTTAAAACACACTAGACATGCTTATTCTGTGCATTTTTAGCACATTTTGTGTGAAATCACATTTATTTTGTCCATCAACAGTGTGCTGTCACTTTAATTGAGCATGAGCAGCACAGCAAAAATAGATTAGGCACCGAAACCATCACTTCAGTGCTGCTCACGCGATGCTCCTGCTTGACACTCACGTGCGGCTCCTGCTCCCTGTGTGAATGCACTCATTTGCTGACATGCACGCAGAAAAAAATACAAGCTGCTCACATGCCACTCAAGTTTGCGGTGTGAAACCGGCCTAATGCAAAAATGAAATGCGATGAAAGTATGCAAGTAGAATATGCATATGGTAGAAGAAATCTCAGAGCTCACCCGTAATGTATGGTGCTCCTGGGCCAACAGCTCAGAGACACGCTCATTCAGGGACACCACTTCCAGGAAATTCCCCCACAATGCCATGAGCAGAGAGCATAGCTGCGCCAAATTCATGTTCACCAGTTCAGCCAACTCATCTGGGCTCTCTGCCCTCTGCTGCAAGATTAAATACACAAAGAGCCATTTATATAGAATTGTGCAGTACACCATTATAAGGTGCCAGCCAAGCCAAGCAACAACCACAGTGGTAGGTATGAGCTTAACTTATGGTTTAAGGGCAGTCGTGGCCTAATGGTTAGAGAGTCTGACTTGTAACCCAAAGGTCGTGATTTTGAGTCCTGGTACTGGCAGGTAGGGGTGTGCAGCGAAGCCAGTATTTGTATCTGTAACAATCTCAAAATTATTCGTATCTGTATCTGTATTTGGATAAAACCGGAAGTAGGCGGAGCTTGAACCAGAACTTCATACAGTTAGCCTATATTTGATAAGACTGTTATGTTTATGGTTTTACAGCATATCTTTTTTCGTAGTTATCACTGAACAAATATGCAGTGTTTAACTAAAATAATATATATTTTTTTATGATTATAACATTTATTTAAATCTCTTCTAACAGTCGGACTATTTGCCCTATTCAGTGTTCTAAACTATAAAATTAATAATTTCTAAAAATAAATTTATCATATACAAGTAGGAAGATTTCATGACAAACATTTAGTGATCATTTCAACACGACTGAATGAATTCAAGGCGCACATTTTTATTATGCAGAACTCTTTAAACAAGTCTTTTTTGAACTTTACTAAACAACTGTGCGTGTGCCATGCAAACCAGCAAAAGATAAGGAAGCAAACATGTAGGCCTAGTAGAAAATGTATCTGTATTTAAGTTGATTATTAGCCTACGCTTGACAGAGAGCTGGTTTGGTTTTTGAGAGACAGACGCGCAGAGACGGCAACGCGGCTGTTTGATTGGCGATCGCGCTGTGCTTATTCATTAGTGTATCATATCGTAGCCTATAAGGTTTAAATCACTGCCTTTTAAATATACACAAATAGTAGAACGTGTATGATGTATTATTTTAGGTAATATTAGGCCTACTCTTGCCAAGCTCTGATTTCTGAGAGATGCACGGAGAGACAACAGCAATGTGTGTTTGATTTGTGCTCTTTTCATTCATAAAGTTTACATTCATTCACTTCACACACTCATTATTGCATGAATTTAGAGGTTTGTGTAAAATATCGCGCTGATCCCTTGGCTCACCCGTGAATCTAGCAAACATCAGACTGTGCTGCAGCCTCAGCCGAATATTCGGGCAGAATTATTCGTTATCCGTTTTTGTAGCCATTATCCGTGCCTTTCCGAATAAGGTATTCGGCTTCGGGCACACCCCTACCGGCAGGGATTGTAGGTGGAGGGAGTGAATGACCAGCGCGCTCTTCCACCCTCAGTACCACAACTGAGCTGAGACCCTTGAGCAAGGCATCAAAGCCCCAACTGCTCCCTGGACGCCACAGCAGAAATGGCTACCCACTGCTCCAGGTGTATGTTCACTATGAGACCATACTTGGCTACACTCATGTCACTTTCACTTTTTATATTACAATAATGGTATATCCTGCAAAGTATTTATTTTTAAGTTATTAAGTTAAATTATTTGTACATTAAATAACCAAGTTGTAATGACTATTTTTGAATAATTCAGTGAATTAAACACTTAAAAAAAATTGATGGATGCATAACCAAAACACATTATTCACAATAAGTTCATGATAAGTCTGGAATCAGTAAAACACACTTTAGATTGTGTAATACTTGAGGTAAAATATATAAATTAAAATATATTCTAAACAAAACGAATCTTTATTATTACAAAACTCTTATTGGATCATTCACTTCCCAAACTTTTGTAAAATAACTTCTATATGAGCATTCTATATGAGCTCAAAAACTGTATACAGTTTACAAAATACAGATGTTGCCAGATGGTAACAAGACCCTTTAATAAAGTTTGTCTTGACTTGTTTGGGACACATCCTGCTCTGTATTTTTGCATTAAATGATTAAACTATGACATACCTTGACTTGTTCACAAAGCTCATTAAGTCGGGCCTCCACATCAAGTTCCTCTAATAAAAGAAAAGAGCATAGTTAAAATATTGTTCCTACAGCAGCAGTATGGAGTGAATGAGAGAGAAGGGTCTGTCTGAAGAGCCTGTGATTGACAGCGCATGAGAGGGATCAAGAGGATCAACAGCACAGGAAGTAGGAGTCAGAGAACAGAGAATTCCAGCAAATTTCAGCACAGGAAGTAGGAGTCAGTGGACAGAGAATACCAGCAAATTTCAAGCAATAAGACTGATCCCAAGTCAACCTGAGATCTGAGATACTACTAAAGGAAAGGAGGACTAAGTTGATCTAAAAGTTCCCTCACTGAAGAACACTTGCCATTGACAAACATCCAAGTTAGGGGGAACGGAAGAAAGAAAGAGATCTAAAAAAAAAAAAAAAGACACGAATGAAAGGCAAGAGGTATGTGGAGCGATTCTGAGGGTCGGTTTTGAAGGGACATACCTATGTAGACGTGCCTTTGGCCTCGAGGGTAAGGTCTTCTGAGAACTCGTTCATAAAGGACCTGCATGCTGGGCTTGGCTAGTGGTGGGATTGCACATATAGGCACGTTTAAAACTGTCACTCTCACCTTTAGCTGTTTGAGCTCAAAATGAACCCTCAAATACATGCAAGTTCAGTCACTGTCAGAAGCAGCAAGGGGTGAGTAGTTTAGCTTTGAATGAGTAAGTGAGGGCTTACAGTGAAAGTTCAGGAGGGAAAGTCGTATTAAAGACTAGTTCTGAGGTGCAAACACACAAAAACGGGAGATAAAAGCATCCGCATGCTGATACATACATAAAAAAGAGGGCAGAGGCATATAAGATGCAGGCAAATAACAGCAGGTCTTCAAAAGTCTCTAAAAAGTTATTCAAGTGAATGAGTGGATTAGGGCGAGTGAGTATTCAGTGATCTGATGGGCTCTGATGATATTAAAAAATATATATTAATATGTGAAAGCAATGATCCAATGCATATACAACAAAAACAGATATATATTAGAGCCCGACCGATATATCGTTTTGCCGATATTATCGGCCGATATGAGCCTGTTGCCGATATATCGGTATCGGCGAATATGCCGCCGATATGAACATTTTTTTTTACAGAACATATAACGCAGATAAAATGCTTGAAATGGTGTAATTACTTAGTTTGTCCAGCAGAGCGCGCTCTATTGTTTGCTACTGGCGACCTGGATGAAACGCTTTTGAAGCTTAAGTCTATGGAATACCACTGAAACTTTGAACGGCCATATCTCCGTAACGGCGCGGCGAATCCGCACCAAATTCGGGGGATCCCTTCAGCTCGAGGAACCCTCTCGAACGCGAATCGAGTGTACGTCTAGAGGCCCGCTTTCGAATTCGATGAAACGCAAATCCGTGAATGAATGTTCCTAAGTGAAATAAACTTTAACGGAATAAAGTTGAATGGAACTGAATTAAATTAAAGTTGAATAAACTTCAACTTTACTGTTCAGTGCACTGATGTCAGACTCATTTTGGATAATAAAGTTCATTGTTAAATTGTTAATAAATGCCCTGCCTCCATTACGTATCTCTGTCACGTCATTATAAGTGTTTGATCACCACATTTGAGTGATCATTGCAAAAAATGTGTTTATGTATATAT